GTATCGGTCAAATCTTGTAAGAGGATATGAAAAGCATATAAGAGGATAATGAGATACTTGAAAGGTACTGCAGCTAATCCTTGCGTTATCAAAAGAATGATTTATACTTAAAAAGTATATAAAATTGCTAACTGGGATGGAGACTTAGATGGGCACAAGTCAACTTCTAGATATTTATTCTTGCTTAATAATGGCGCAATCTCTTACAGTAGCAAGAAATAAATTGCATTTTTTTGTCTACAATAGAAGGAGAATTCGTAACATGTGCTTCAGTAGTACAAGAAGCTGTTTGGTTAAAAAGATTCTTTCAGTAGCTATTGCATACACAAAGGATCCCAAGCATCAAAGCATGTCAAACATATTTATATTAAATATAATTTGGTAAGAGACATAATAGAAAAGAAAGAAGTGAGTTTGCAATATATTTTTATGCACCAAATGGTAGCTGGCCCATTTTCTAAATCTATCCCAGGAGATGTATTTGTAACTCATGTTAAATATTTGTGATTGTGTAAAATTTGAATCATATGCTATGAAAACTTGTCGTATAAGTCCATTAATGAACAGTATTTAGAGTTCATATGTTAACAGTAATCTTGTTGTGATTACTAGATTATTGTTTTATATGCACACATAAAGTATGTCAAACATGTTAAGATTGGTTGACTCATACGAACAATTGTCTTAGTTAATTTAGGGTGTGTTAAGATAAGATAAAGTGATCATGTTATGAACATGATCTAGTAGCCGTGATAAGATTACAACAAGCAATCGAAATGAATTTGCTATTCGTTCGACTTGTTTTATAGCCAGATCAACTTCTCAATTGAGATTAGCTAGAGGAATAAATATAAGGAGAACTCAAATTAAATATCGAGGAATGTCTGAACTAAAATATGTAGGGTGTATTTAATTTGTAAAATGAGACATGCGTCCAAATAAATGGAGACAACGTTAACAACCAATCAAAAATGAAAGAATGGATCCCTGCTTGCCCCCAGGGCACATCTCCAAGTGGTAAAAGAGAAGGGTGGAGAAATCCAACTTTGCTTGAGGCTGCTGCGTCAAGGGTTCGAATCCTGAAATATGGATTTGGCTCTTGGGTAAGTGCAAGTGTACAAGCAGCCTTTCACCCTGACCCTTGGAGGCATAACCTGCGATTTACCTCCCTCACGATACTCCAGGGCAGGGGTGGTGGGGGACCCTTAAGGTTAGGGTTTAACCTTTTTTTTTTTTTCTATTTCCCTAAGAATTCTTTGATTCTTCATTTGCTCAAACTCAGAGGCTAGCCTTCTCTGTTCTGCCTCTTCAGTTATTTTCTGCAGTTTTAGCCTCTTCGCCTCCTCCTCTCGTTCCTTGAGATTTCAAGAAAATAATATAAATACTTCACGTAGTTTCAAATAATAATTATAAAAGTGAACCAAAAATCATCATTTGTTCCAGATATCAAAAGGATATACCATCTCAAAAAGTTGACGTTCATGTTCTTCTTTGCGTTTTTCAATTATAGACTTGCGTGCAAGAAGTCTCCTGTGTTCCTTGTCCACAGTGTCCACTAAAGCAGAAAGAGATTCCCCTGATTTCAATGATCTCTTTACAGGAGGGTGGATCATGATTCTCGCTTTGCTAAGGGATTCGGCAAAAGTTGCCAGGTGATGGCGTAGGCATTCGGACTCAAGATTCTGATATGGATGTAGTTAACGATAAAAACATCTCACATGCATAATAATTCATTTGTTTCTTAATGATAAACTAATAAATAAAAGCAAAAGCAAAAGCAAAAGGTTTTCAAGCATTTTCATACAGTAACATAAGGCTGGGTCATACTTAAGCAGAATTCCATGACTACTCTTCCTGGTCAAGACTATCTTAGTCAACAGCATGTATTAATGCATTCTTACAAACCCCAAAGTTCATTAGGCCTACTTAGTTCACATCAAAAAAGCATGGTATATTTTTCTGTTAACAATATGTTTAATTAACCATGAAAACATTTATCAAGCCAATAAATTATTTCTTTTCAAACCAAGTTCAGGTAGCAGAGTCCATCTTGTCAGATAAGCTCACTATTCTCCATCAATTAACTGATGCATCCTTTATCTGAAGGCAGGGCATTGATTTTAACCAAAAAATGTCCTTTCAAAGGTAATGCATGCCAAATGATGCAGGACAACTGATGAGGACATCTTTTTATTATTTTGGGCCATACTACTTTGGGTTTGTATTGATGGGCCCAACCCAAGCCCATAACTTTTAGGGTTATATTTTGTATAAGTGTCTTGTATTGGAGGAAAAGAAGATGGAGAATGGTAGTCAATTAACAGGCTTTACTGCCCTCACATTTTTTTCTGGTATTTGCTTCTCCTAGTTCTTCCTCTTTCTTTCTCTGTTTTCTCCTCCCTCCTCGTCTTCTCGGTTCTTCTGTTTCTGTTTTTCTTCTGCTGTTTCTGTTCTTCTTTTGCTGGAGGTGATTTTCTTTCTTATTTAGTTTACTTTATACTTCATCAAAGTGGTATCAGAGCTAAATCTGATTTCCTTCGAATTCATCCACAAAAATAATCAATCTTTATACATAATCAATATAACCATAACTACTACTGAAACTCCAACCAAATCTGATGCAGCCAACCAATACAACTGTTTCTTCTTTGTGCCACCAACCAGCAACCATTGTTGCAAATCCATGCAACCTACCAAAATTGCTAATTGATGCATCACTTTCTCTGATCTCCGTCCTAGATTCTATCGCTAAAAAAATCGCAACCCCAACCACCAACATCACTTCCCAATTCACTACCCGTCGACTGCTTATAATCGACGACCTAAGCAATAACATACTCTACATCTACGATCGACGTCATAGTGACCCAGAAATTCCACCTACTTGCTCGCCGCTACAACCCCTTCGTTTTTCCACAATCAATACATCAATACCTCTACAATCGCCACCACCGAGTACCGCTCTTCTAAAGATCGATAAACTAGTAACCACCCCTCACTATATATCCATGCCTGACATGCCTCCTTAGCATTCTACTTTAATGAAATCTGTTCATGATATAACATATACCAATGCTCATAACCCAAGCCCTTTATCATTCGGCCCATATAATACCAAAACCATATAACGCAATCCACTTACCTTGCAACCCGCCACAACCCATCAGTTCGTATATACAAATTCAGTCCATTTTATTAGAATAGTGAAAAAGAAAAAAGAAAAAGAGAAAAAAAAAAGTGAAACATTACTTGCAGGTACCTCTTTTATTTTGACTGGTTGACACTGCCTCTCAATGAAAAGAAGGGAAGATATTGTTTTTATTTGTCTTTGGTAAGTATTACTATTAATTTAAAATAACATCAATTAATTTTCTATACTACTATTATTCTAAGTATTTTATCTAAAATTATGTGATTGAATCCTTAGCTAGTTAAACCCTATTTTTACCCCCCACTTATTTTACGTGATTAGATTTTTGACTAGTAATTTTGACCCTTGCTATGTTATTTTACATATATTATCAGTATTAACTCGTCATATTTGAATTTACTAAACTTTCCATTTAAATGCTCAAGTTGTAATTTTTTATTACTTTCTCTTGTTGTTCATTGATCTCTCTATCACACGTCATTTAGCTTGTATTACATTGCATGCATCACCTCTAGTTTTAGTACATTGACCATGAACCCATCCCAAATTAATGCACTCACTGGACAATTAGCTCAAAGCAACATTTACATACTCAATTAATAGCTATCCAAACCGAAATGACTGCTACTTGTGAAGAGAGCAGAAACCTAGCTACCAGGTTGGACAATTTTGAGCAAACCCCTCATTTGATTAACATTGAAAACTTTGAAGCGTCCCATAATATAATATGCTATAATCATCGACAAGATGGTCAACAACATCTTCGACGTGATTGAAAGAATGGGAATGAGGGTCGTGACCGAGAACGAGGACATGGGCATCATGATATTCATTCTTCTCCTTACCATGAAGAGCATTGTTTAGAAACATCAAGTTGGATGCTCCTACTTTCGATGGTTACTTAAATCCTAGAGTTTTTACTCATGGATTAGAGACATGGATCGTTTCTTGGCATGGCATGGAGTCCCAGATGATCGACATGTACAATTTGCCAGAAATTAACCATCGTCATTCAAATCTTTTGGGAAAGTGTTGATAATCTCCTTGAGAAGCGTCATGCACCTTCTGTTGGAAGTTGGGAGGAAATGAAGTGTCGCCTTCCAGAAAAGTATTTACCCCAATCTTATAAGGGTAACTTGTTGGACCAATGGGATGCCTTTACATAGTGAAATTGACCAACGGCTGATTATGTTACACAATTTGATGAATTTCGAATGCGATATCATGTCGTTGAGGATAAGGCTATGACTTTGAGTAGGTTTAGACAGAGCCTAAAAGATGATCTTAGGTGTGAGCTTGTCCTTCGAGGTGTTACCATTCTTGATCACGCTTACTCTTTAGTCCAAGATTATGAGTTGATTACTAAAACTCCATATGGAATGCATATTGATAATCATCCTTCCATCTCATGTGTTCCACCTCCTCTCCATTAAGTCCATTTTAGGGCCTCCATCATCTAATGTTTATCTTGTGTTGGAAAATAAAGGTAAAGCTTTTGAAATTTCAAGAACCACTTCTTGCCCCTAGTTGTCCTTGATAAGATGTCAGTATGGATTTTGTGTTAGAACTCCTATGTACTCCAAAGAAACATGACTCTATTTTTGTTATAGTGGATCATTTCTCGAAAATGACCCACTTTATTCCTTGCAGCAAAACTTAGATGTGTCTAAGGTTGTCAAATTGTACTTTAATGAGATTGTTAAGCTGTATGCCTTTCCTAATACCATTGTCTCATATAGGAATGTTTGGTTTACTAGCCACTTTGGAGATCTTTGTGGCACATGGGTGGCACTCAATTGAAATTCTCCACTGCATATCACCGTCAGACTAATGGACAAATTAAAGCTGTTAATCGCAATCTTGATAATATATTCATATGTCTAGTTCAAGAAAATCTTAGGAATTGTGCTTTAATCCTTCCTACAACCTAAATTGCATATAACAATTCTATTAATCAGTCTTTAGGTATAAGTCCTTCTAAAGTTGTTCATGGTTATAAACCTAGGAAGCTTTTAGACCTTATTCATATGTCCCCACATAGAAGTATGTCTGTGTCAATTGAGGCATTTGTGCAACATCTCCACGACTTGCTTATTGAGATCAATAAACAACTTGAAATAAGTAATGCATCATATAAACTTTTAGCTGATTTGCATAAACGACATGTTGAATTTAATATTGTGGATTATGTTATCATTCGAATTAGACCAAAACGACATCCTTCTAGATTCGCCTCCAAATTGCAAGCCGTAGTACTGGTCTTTTTAAAATTTTAAAGCGTGTCGGTCCAAATACATATGTCATTGACCTTCTATCACATTTTGGGTACCATTCTACTTTCGATGTTGAAGATTTAGTTGCTTATAAAGGTCGTTTTATACCCTTCGAAGATTCTTTTCTACCTTAATCTATAGACCGTCAAACTAAATTTGTTGCCATTCTTATATCAACATCACTTGTCATAGCAAATGAAGATAAAATTGATGCAATTTTAGATGAAGAGATTGTGTTGATTATGATGAAAAGATTCAGCACTTCCTTGTTCGTTGGGTAGATGGACCAAATTCTGACTATACATGGATTCCCAGAGAGACATTTCAACAACTTGATCCAGATTTATTAGAGTTTTATTGGAGCCAGTGGGATCTACCTTTGCCCAAGTCATCTTCCACCCATGTTAAGGGAGTTGGTGGAGACACCAAATTTAGACCTCTACTCACATATGTTTATGGGTGTCCAAAGAGCATTGTTCAGTCACTTAGCTTATGGTTGGAATATTGACTGCAGATTGATAGTAGCTTTTTGCGTTTTGTCCACTTGACGGAGTCGAGTTTTTCTTTCACCCTGATCAAGTTGGTGACGACATCTACTTGATTATTTTGGGTTATATTATTTTAGACTATATTAATTGGGTTTGTATTTATGGGCCTGACCTAAGTCCATACTTCTTGGATGATATTTTGTATAAGTTGATGTGTATTGTAAGGAGAAGTATAACAATGATGGAAAATTACGGACTTTATAGCCCACACGTGTTCTTCTCTTTGGTGTTTTCTCTTTCCTTTCCTTCTTCTATTTTTTCCTGTTTCTTAATTATTTTCTCCTCTTTCATCTTTTTCTACCATTTCTGTTCTTCTTCTGCTAGCAGTGATTTTCTTTCTTATTTAGTTTACTTTATGCTTCATTAGTAAATAATCCAACCTCTCACTTCTTGGGAATTCAAGTAAGTTCTACAACTTGGAACTCGATTAGAAACATGCTAGTATGATTTTACATTGTTTACCAAATTTTTATGTAACATTTGAAAAAAGGAAGCCATCCTAAATAGAACACATCCCAGCAATTCCCTGTATGTGTAAAAATTAATTTGATGATAATCTTTCTAAGTGGATTATATTGGGAAAAGATAATAGTTTCTGTCAGAATGTAATATTTAAGAATCCAACAAATTATTCCTTTTATTGCTATCATGTTCGACATCATATGGAAGAATATAAATAGAGCACAAAAAACTAGACCTATAGAAATACAAGCAAAAAAGGAGAGAGTTTTAATCTTATATTTAAAGAAAAGCTCTGGGTGATGAGTGTGTTTTACTCACGAGTTTATGCCATTTTTAACTTGATTTTTAATGTGAAAATATAATAGTTTCTGTCAGAATGTAATATTTAAGAATCCAACAAATTATTCCTTTTATTGCTATCATGTTCGACATCATATGGAAGAATATAAATAGAGCACAAAAAACTAGACCTATAGAAATACAAGCAAAAAAGGAGAGAGTTTTAATCTTATATTTAAAGAAAAGCTCTGGGTGATGAGTGTGTTTTACTCACGAGTTTATGCCATTTTTAACTTGATTTTTAATGTGTTTCTTAGTGTTGTTTTGTAGAAGCAGTAAGATGTTGCAAATCAAGGAAAGAAATTGTAAAACAAAGCTATTGGCATGGATCAAGCAGAAAAGATGAATGAAAAGGGCAAAAGAAACAAGTACAATGTAGAAAGGATGATTAGCGCTAGTGGCACCTAAGCTCTACCACAATAGAGGTATAGCGCTGTGGTGCCATACTCGTGGTGCCAAGTTACCACAAAAGCCAAGAGGAAAACAGAGATGTGGCGCCATCATGAAAAATGACACGGCACCACGGCGTATCTAGCAAGTTTTAGCCCGTTTTGAAATCCATAAAAACCCTACTTTTAACACCAACGGGGAAGCAACTCTAAATACAAGTTTCCACACTTTTGACAGGGATTCCACACTTTGA